AAAAACACTAGTGAAAAGCATATTTCACGACTACTACGTAGTGTGAATATCCTAGTTTTACACCAGTTCACGTAAAACGGGTGAAACTCCACTTTTTCAAAATAGCAAAACGAAAAATAGATTTTTTTTCAGAATTCTGAGAATGCTTACGCTCCATAGACGTCCTCCATACAGGTTTCGATCGAACTAGGAACTCTACCATCAGCGAGGAGGCTTCTAGCCATCTACATACACACAGAGCAAGGAAAAATATTTGTTCTCCTTCCTCAGCTGAGCTTGGGAATTTCCTCACTAGTCATACAAGTTCACATATGAATCCGGCTAGAAATGTACGAAAACCAATGAGAATTTCCATATGTGGTCGATCATGTTTCTATTTTCTCTCACCTGGCTTTCGCAATTTTCTCCAATTCCCGAGAGCAAGTGTCTATGGACTACTGCGCCGCCACTCAGTAGAGCCTTTCGGACGTATTCGGCCGATCCAGAGTCGTCCTTGAGACAAGCTAATGCGGCTAAGGAGGCGTTGACCTACGGAAAACACCTGAGAGTTTTATGAAGTTTTATGAGTTTTATTTTGTGAAGTGGCAAAATATTCCATGTGAAAAACGCGATATGAAGTGAATTGAAAATACTCCGCGAATTACACCGGACAAATAACTCCACTTGTCATAAAACACATCACATGTTTTACGCGTTATCCGCTGCTCACGTGCGTTATTCGCGGAGTGAATTGTGAAATATATTTTCACAAGTGTTTTTTTCATATCATGGGTGAAACTCCGATGAATGCTGATGTTACTTTCGACAGTGTCGCTGCCGTACCAGGAGCCCGATGAGGCCTGCACGGTTTTTCATTGAAGAGTGCCTCGTTGCAGCAGGGATCGGTATAGTAACTGCACAGGGCATAAGCCCGCTCTCCTCAGCTGAGCTCAGGAGTCTCCAAAGCTACTTAGAAACCAACAAGGATTTACATATTGTCATTGACCATGTGCATACCACTCGATCTCCAACTCACCCTGAGGGGTCCACGAAAGGATCCTTCCGACACAACGACGTCTCCGTATTCACTTCAACCAACTTAGGGACAATCAGATCTTCCGCGAGATGCCAACATTTTCCAAAGGCGTCCATGGCCGTATAAGACAGCGCACGAGTAGCCAAATTACGCAGCCGACGGGCATTCCACAATCGATATCTGATTAAGTGCCGCTGGTCAGCAGACTCGTAGGGACTACAATGTGCAGAGAGGCCTATCTTTTGATGATAGACGCGTTGCCTTCGGTGTGGTATAAGAAGAAAGATGTTTGAGTAGACCTGAATCGAAAATAAGAGGCCATTACATAATCACTGCCTACCAATTCTCGAGCTTGTTGATTTCCCTGCCCCTCCCGAATGAGGATACTCTCTCGTGTGATCCGAACAACTATGTTCCAGTCGACCGGCTTCTCGCATTTTTATTCTTATCTACTAAGCCGACAACTGAGAGCCCACATTGAAGAGACACTATTCGCTGTACCGCATCTATCTGAGCGATTACGCGATCAAGAGCATTCTTATCGCAGTCGCCAGGCTCAGTGCGCGTTCCTGAGGATGACCATAGAATCATACGAATGAGGTCTCTCACGGTCGTCGAGATTCTTTAACTGTATGTCGTCAAGTACCACGCTCCCTTCTTTCACCGTGATGATTTCATTCGAGGAGAAGTCGATCGAACAGTGTCTGAGTGCTGGGGCCGATTCCCAATCTAGGATTCGCAGAGCCGTACTTGATCAAATTTTCCTCATCGATGAAGCCGGGAGTAATAACACTTCGGTGATGGATGATCCCTGAGGAGTTTCACCCGTGATATGAAAAGTACTTGTGAAAAACGACGTTTCACATTTCACATTGCTAAGACACGTGAAACGGAGTCACTTCATATCGCGTTCACGTCAACTCACATAAAACGGATGGAACTCACTCGACGGGACGAGTAAAACGAGTAGTCCTCGCTCTTGTACCGTGGCCATCTGTGCCAGCATCGATTCAACATTGTCGTCCACACCAAAAGAGGTATACACTCGAAGAGCCCACCAAAGGGTATCCGATCGTATCTTGCGGTGCACTACTGTGCCATCTGGTGTTTCCTTACCGGCGGCGCGAGAATTCCGAATTTTTTTATCAATTTTTTCGCAGTATCATCATTTCTGGTAGCATTCGAGCATTTGATATTCACGGGCAGGCCAGCTACAGTCCTGTTAAAAACGCTTTGTATTCGTTATCGTGCAAAATGCTGCTACCAGATCCCGCGATTCAAGTGCTCCAGAGTAGCGTTGTTGCTTTGTAAAGCATGCAGTGTGGGCTCTCGAACGTCCTTGAAAACTGTATCTACTCTTGCGGATATCACAATTTTTTTCGGAAATGACGAAATTTTGGGAAATTCTCGTTGGCTTCTGTACATTTCTACCCGAATTCGTATATAAACTGCTATAATCAGTGGGGAAACCGCTGAGGGAAGCGAACATACATTGCTCCAAGACTGACCCAGTTTATGAGGGTTTCTGGCAGCCCTCAGTTTATCAGCGAAGTCATCCATTGTGAAGTTCCACATCGAGACTTCATTTCGATCACATATACACTTCACTTCGTGTATGCCCGGATCGAGATGACGCGAGTGATAGCAACTGATCCCAGAGGATTTCATCGGTCCTCAGCAGCCACCTCCCACCGGGCAGGGCATTGAACGCATGTTTCAAGTTCAGCAACGTATATCTCTTCTTGGTCGCATGTGCGTATGTATAGATCTTCATCATAACGAAGGACGACGCGTATGTATCTACATCGTTTCCTCTACTGAGTAGATCGGAAAATATAGATATGATCATCTACGTGTGAAAATTTTGAAAATTCGGGGTCAGTGTGGTAAAATTTGCGCACGGTCAACCACATGTGTTGGTGACAATATGAAAACTCTGAGGAAAATTTGGAAAATCCTTGTTAGTGTCTGTACACTGATCGAATATATTCTCCCAATTCGTATATAAAATTTTATGATTAGTGAGGAAAACTTGGAGCTCAGCTGAGGAAAGCGAACATTTTTTGCAGCACTGTTCGGGGTTGGTTTCTAAAAATTCATATAATTAGTGAGGAAACTCCTGAGCTCAGCTAAAGAAAGCAAACATATATTCATCTGTTGGCCTTACTCTTCAATTCGACTTCGTGTGGCAACTACTTTAACTCTATCAACCCAGGATTGCCCTCCATAACGAGGCGATAGTGTTGTGGTGATTATCAATAACAGACTCCAGCATATTGAGAAGGACAACATGTGGGCAACTCAAGGGAAATCCAATATAGTGTCGAACGCTTTAAGACCCATTAAATGTAATATGAATCAGGGTTCATCTAAGCCTCTTGAGAGATGCATCATTGTCACTGTCCCAATCTTCCGTAGTGCACAATGTGTCTTTCGAGTGGAAGAACCGCTCAACTGAGCTTATGATGAAGATAGTTACGTCGATTAGGTATACCCAGACTGCTGCCTTGTAAGGCACTCTCCTGCAGTTGTGTCCAGTGTAGTTTAATCTCAATGGGCAAATCACTAACACTCTCAAAGTGCTGCAGTTTATGCAACTTTCCCATATATAAAAGATCTGAGTTCATATACGCGGTCGAAATGAGTATGTGAATGCCGACCAGGTCAGACTTCGCAATAATATTGTCAACGAAATGACCATTACCCTCACACAGTTGATTTTCACTAATGAGGTTCCCCTTTGGAGAAGTTTCTGTTCACCTGACGGGAGTCTCAATTCAGAATTGCCATACTTAGCGGTTGTATCACTAGGCAGGCTTTCAGCTGAGCGAATTCAACATCATCGTGGTGAACTTCGAATTTATCAAGTTTACATCGGAGTTTCACCCGTTACGTGGAGTGGCGTAATACTCTGTGATGAACCCGATATTCGCGCTATGCAGTAGTTGCGAAATATGTTTTTCATTTCACGGGTGAAACTCCATTATTGAACTCGTTAGCACTGCTAACTTCATCTGTCTTTTTTGCGACAAGCTCCAGCTTATCGTCCCAGAGTACCATTTACGTCTTTATACGAGCA